TTTATTTATTTATTGTGCCGGGGATTGAACTCAGGACCTTGTGCTTGCCAGGCAGGTGCTTATACCACTGAGCTATATCCCCGGCCCTCCCTCACCAGTCTTTAAAAATAAGTTCTTTTAAAAAAAATTTGAGACAGGGTCTCTAAATTGCTGAAGGCTCAAAATTGGAATCCTCCTGCACTGACCCCTCAGTGTTCTGGGATAACAAGCATGTGCCACCCACTCCTAATTTCAAGGAATGAGCTTGATTTATCTGTTAGGCACTCAGATAGTAAGGGTGGGCTGTGGATTGCACCCCATTTTTTGGTTGAGGAGGGAAGCTGAAGCCAAAGTGGGCCAGAGACACAGAGAAGAGAGTGGGAATAGAGGAGGTAGCCACAGTCATCCTTGGAGTCCAGTCTAGGCTGGGTTCTCCCATCTCAGCCTGGGGCTTATCCCTCCATGTGGTCCTCCATCCCTGCCTACTAAGCAGAGGTAGGATAGCCCAGGTGCTCTGGCTGTTTGTTAGGCTGTCCACCAGGTATCCTGAGTCAGGAGGGCAGGTACACCTCATATTCACTGTCCCCATGCCTGCCTTTTCTTCTAGAGGAACACAGACTGCCTCTGCTGGGCCCAGCCTCCTCTAAGCACGATATCAGGAGCTGAACAGAATACAGAGGTGGCTAAGCAGGGCCTGCCCATGGGGCTTCCCAGACCAAATAAGAGCAGTGAGGCCCAGCGGAGAGAGCAGCTGTGTCAGACTGGTAGTGGCCAAAGAGAGCTTCACAGAGTCATCCTTTGCCCTGGCTCTTGAGGGGCCCATGCCATGAGAACAGGTATAGAGGAAAGAACTCAGGGTGCCTGGGAAGGCAGGCCAGCCTCTTCTGCTCACCATTTCCATTCTGCTGCACCAGCTTCCCCTGGTTCCCACTTAGGATTCTCTCCAAGTACAAAAGACCATAGTTGAGTGTTCCTTGGGTAGGAATTCTCCCTTCTGATGGTAAGGATTACTATGCCTTTAGGCCATTCTTTCCTCAATGGCACTGTCTGCTTGACAGGAGACATATGAGAACACAAGCCACCAGGTACACACCCTCCGGAGGCTCATTAAGGAGAAGGAAGAAGCCTTCCAGCGCCGATGTCACTTGGAGCCAAGTGCCTGTGGCCTGGAGTCCATGGAAGGAGAGGCCTTGGCCAGGGTAGGCCCTGCAGAACTGAGTGAAGGTGGACTACCCTCCGACTTGGACCTGCTGGCCCCTGTTGCACCTGCTGAGGAGGCCCTTCCTCTGCCTCCACCCCCAGCTCCTCCCTTGCCGCCACCCCCTCCCCCATTACCAGGTATCCAGGACTCCTGGCCTTGAGGGGCAGCCTCACTGTGGTGCCAAAACCCTAGTAAGGGGTCAGCTGGGAAATGGCATCATTTGAGGGCTGGAAGAATATCAGGTCAGGATGAGAGGGTTTAGATCCAGGGAGCTCAGGTGTTTTTTTTTTTTTTTTAAATGTATTTAGTACAAGGTCTCACTACACAGATTGGACTCATAGTGATCCTCCTGTTTTCAGCCTCCCAAGCACTGGGATTACAAGTGTGCACCACCATGGCCCATCTCAGTCCCCATGTCAGCGTACCCTGGGGGCGGGGCCAGCATGGCACACCTGGGATCAAACCCCAGTTTAGTCTACTGAGCTATCTGGCTGGCCCTAGGGAGCTCAAGTTTTGAGCACAGGTGAGAGGGCAGCTGTTGCCTGCTCTTAACTGCTCTCAAGGCAGCACAGAAGAGGTACAGATAATGGTAGGAGAACTGGAGAAGAGACCAACAGCAGATCCTGATCTGTTAGGACTCCTGGGGGTAACTTGAGCAGAACTCATAAAGCCTAAGGGTCTTGAAGGAAAATAGGCAGAGGGATGGGTAGTGTGGGAAGTCTTGTGACCCCTGTGCCATTTCTTCTTCCCCTAGGCAAGTGTCCCCCAGCTCCACCTCTACCTGGCTCTGCACCCTCTGTGGTCTTGACAGTGGGCCTATCTGGTAAGTATCTCCAGAGCTCTGGGCATGGCTGGCGGGTCCAGGGGAATATGTCCTTAGTCCCCGCCTCACTGATCCTATTTCCAAACCAGCCATTCGCATTAAGAAACCTATCAAGACCAAGTTCCGGCTACCAGTCTTCAACTGGACAGCGCTGAAACCCAATCAGATCAGTGGCACTGTCTTTAGTGAACTTGATGATGAAAAGATCTTGGAGGTGACAGGGGCTGGGGGCCAAAAACATGGGCTTGGCAGCTGGGAACCAATTTGTCCTTTTAACCAGATTCTCTGGACTTGGAAAAGTCCATTGTCAGCTCTGAGAGTCAGAGCTGGCACCATGCTGGGCATAACACCAGTGAATCCTCTCATTGTACCAATCTGTAGCATTTTCCCATGTTTGTTTCTGGTAGGACTTGGACCTGGACAAGTTTGAGGAATTGTTTAAGACGAAAGCACAGGGCCCTGCCCTTGACCTCATCTGCTCCAAGAACAAGACAGCGCAAAAAGCTGCCAGCAAAGTGACCCTGTTGGAAGCCAACCGTGCCAAGAACCTGGCCATCACTTTACGCAAGGCTGGTCGCTCAGCAGAAGAGATCTGCAGGGCCATCCACACGTGAGACTCCTACTGACCTGGTCCTGGTCCGGGTGCCCAACCAGTTGGCAACCTAGTACTCCATCCAGAAGCCTGGCTTTCCCTAAATTCTAGTGCTCCTGATAACATTCCCTCATGCTTCTCAGACATCCAGTAGGGTGACCAGAACTGACTAGGGGTCAGGCAGGTATTGTGTGAGGTGCTAGGGATTCATCCTAGACCTTTCCCAGGGAGCCCCTAGGGAGGCAACACTGAGTGATGTCATGGTACAGGGAGTGAGAGCCACAGAACTGAGCTTGGTGATCAGTATGGGCTTCCTAGAAAAGTACATCTCAATTGGGTATGAAGGAAGTGCACATTAGCCTAGTTCAGGGCCCAGAGGGAGGAACGTGTGGCCTTGGATTCTAAAAGTAGAATCTGGAGTTAGTGTAGGGATGAAAGTAGGAGAGACAGGGTGGAAAAGTAAGCAGAAGACCTACAGGTACTTGGTCCTGCTTAGGTACTTGAACTTATCTGTAGATGAAAAGGAAAGACATAAGACATCACCAGGCAGCAGGTAGGGGTCCCCAGAACCAGCCTCAGATGTCCTCTCATCTACACAGGTTTGACCTGCAGACACTACCTGTGGACTTTGTGGAGTGCCTGATGCGCTTCCTGCCCACAGAAGCTGAGGTGAAGCTGCTGCGCCAGTATGAGCGTGAGCGGCAGCCCCTCGAGGAACTGGCAGCTGAGGACCGCTTTATGCTGCTCTTTAGCAAGGTAGAGCGGCTGACACAGCGAATGGCTGGCATGGCCTTCCTGGGCAACTTCCAAGACAACCTGCAGATGCTCACACCGGTATGCCCTTTCCTGAATCTCTCCCCTGAACTGTGGTGCTCTGATGCCGTTCCTTCCTCCTCCCCTTCTGACCACCTCCCCTTCCCTGCCTATCCTCCCAGGCCCTTCCTCACTTCACCCCATTGGCCAGCCTGGCTGGACTCAGGTGTTCCTTTCTTCTTCCAGCAACTCAACGCCATCATTGCAGCCTCTGCCTCTGTCAAGTCCTCACAGAAGCTGAAGCAGATGCTGGAGGTGGGGAAGAGTGACTGGGGTACTGCTGGTTCCCAGGTCTTGCTGGGTACTTGGGGCTATACAGAGGAGGGGGCCTTGAAAGTGGCATGACCTCCCCACATGTATCTTTTGGACAGATCATACTTGCTCTGGGGAACTACATGAACAGCAGCAAGCGAGGAGCTGTGTATGGTTTTAAGCTCCAGAGCTTGGATCTGGTAAGGTGGTGGGTGCAGCTCGGGCAGGAAGCCTAGGGGCAGTGCTGGTAAAGCCAGCATGTTTAGCTCTCTGGCACTGCTCCTCTTTCCCTCCCTCCCAGCTGCTGGACACAAAGTCCACTGACCGGAAGATGACACTGCTGCATTTCATTGCCTTGACGGTAAAGGAAAAATACCCAGATCTGACCAACTTCTGGCATGAGCTGCACTTTGTGGAGAAAGCTGCAGCAGGTGAGAAGACCTTGGCTGGTGTACCTGTTGTCATGTCCAGCCTAGTACAATCCCCCCCAAAAAACTGAGGAACTCTTGAGTCCATTTGTTTTCTGGCTTTCAGCTTCTGACTGCTTCAAAGCTTTCTACTACAGGGGCTGGCGAGATGGCTCAGCAGAATAAGTGCTTGCCTGGCAAGCGCAAGGGCCTGAGTTCAATCCCCAGTTCCGTAATTAAAAAAAAAAAAAAAAAAGCTTTCCACTAGAGCCATACATGAGCAAGGGCTGCCTTGGAGGGAGCCTTGCAGGAGGCAGGCCCAGCTCAAACCTTCCTGGCGAGGTGCCATGGGAACAGGAAGGGAGCAGAAGCTCTTTATTCCCAACTCCTTCAAGCTCACTCAGAGAGACTGCATTTCCTATATGTGTGCAAAGTAACTAGAAAAACCATAGAGCTCTTTATAGACAGAAGGTAGCTGTTATTTCTGTCTTGGCCATGAAACTGGGACACGCCTGAGGCAGCTCCACTTCGGAGACCAGCAACCTCTGTGGCTTCCTTTCTTTTGCTACCTTTGGGACAAAGGGGTCACATTCTCTACTACTTTGCCCTGCCACTGTGGGAGCCTCAGCTGTCTGAAACACGTCACTTTCACATGGTGCGATCCACCTGCCAAGGGAGAGGGTAAATTTGCTGTAGCCCTGGGCTGGGAAGTAGGCTGTCACCAGCTGGGCAGGCCTCAAACAGGCCTCTGGTGTCTGCAGTGTCCCTGGAGAATGTGCTGCTAGATGTGAAGGAGCTGGGCCGGGGCATGGAGCTGATCCGGCGGGAATGCAGCATTCATGACAACAGTGTCCTTCGGAGTTTCCTCAGCACCAATGAAGGCAAACTGGACAAGCTGCAGCGTGATGCTAAGACAGCTGAGGCAAGCAAGGGATGGAGGACAGGGTGGGAGCAGACTGGGCCAACCGCCAGGCAGCTCTAGATAGGCCTGCCTCAGGTTATCAGACAGCAGACCAACTAGTGTGGGGAGTATGGACTTGGGGGAGTGGGGTACAGCACCTCTGGAGACATTGCTCTTCAGAGCTCTGGGATCCTACATTCTCTCCAGCTCCCAGGACCTTGGGTGGTTGGTTTCCTTTCTTGAGCCCTGGGCTGTTTTCGGTGGGCCTTCTGGCCCTTGTGTGGGAGCTGAGCTTCTCCTTCCTGCCAGTCTGACCCCTTCTCCTGCCCCTTTCCCAGGAAGCCTACAATGCAGTTGTGTGCTACTTTGGCGAGAGTCCCAAGACCACACCTCCTTCTGTATTCTTCCCAGTATTTGTCCGATTCATTCGTTCCTATAAGGTAAGATGGAGAGGGAGACTTAAAGAGGAGTTTGGTTGACAGAAAACTGGCAGGGGGACTGGTTGATCTTGGGCTTCAAGTCTGGGGCTTTTCCAATTCCTTTCAGTCCTGGGGAGGAGCCATGGATGCTGGCGACAAGCCTTAGCTGTGAACTGGTGGGCAGGGTGGGGGCCCAGGCCCTTCCTGTCATTGTTAGGGGCAGGAAGTGCCCCCTCCAGGAGGTGGCCACCTGGGGCTAGCTGGTCCCATTGCCACCCACTCTCCATCCTCAGCGTCAGCCCCTCCCCTCCCAGCCTGTGTGAGCCTCACTCCCACCTACGGTTCTTAGGAAGCAGAACAAGAGAATGAGGCCCGCAAGAAGCAGGAGGAGGTAATGCGGGAGAAGCAGCTGGCTCAGGAAGCCAAGAAGCTGGATGCCAAGGTGGGTGGACCAGTAGTGGGCCTGGGGTGATCACAGAGAAGTGGGAAACTGGAACAGACACACAAAAGGCTGGAAGACTTGAGTCCAGAGCTGTGGGGGATTCCTAGCGGTGTGCAAGTGGACATCCAGGTTGTGGGATCAAGTTAGTGAGGATTTCTTCCCCCCTCAAAGACCCCATCCCAGCGCAACAAGTGGCAACAGCAGGAGCTAATTGCAGAACTGAGGCGGCGACAGGCTAAGGAGCACCGACCTGTTTACGAGGGGAAGGATGGTACCATTGAGGACATCATCACAGGTACGGATGGTCCTTTGTCCGCCCTGGGTCTTGGCTGTTGGGCCCAGCCTAACTGCCTTAGGTCCTACTCCCACCCAGATCACCTGACATGGGGCCTGACCCCTCTCTCTCTCTCTCCTGGGCCATAGTGCTGAAGAGTGTCCCTTTCACGGCCCGTACTGCCAAGCGGGGCTCGCGCTTCTTCTGCGATGCAGCCCACCATGATGAGTCAAACTGTTAACCCCCAGGGCTGGGGCCCCTGACAGGTATGGGGCACCACAGCTGCTGCCCCTATGCATGGCCACTCCCCCAGAGTCCCACTGGAGCTCATGGGTACCCCCACTGCATGACTCGGAATTCTCCTCCTAGTGACGGGGACACATACTTCTGCATGTTCCATGCTCTAAGAAGCATGGCTTATTTCCTGCATGTGCTCTCAGGGAAGTGGCATCTCTCCTACTAATGCTCTCATGGCTTCTACTAAGACTTGGGCTTGGGAGCTTCCAGGTCAGGGTTGGGGGTTGTTCCAGCACAGGACTAGGCCTGTGTTTGATCACCTGAGGTATCCTGAGTCCTTGCCTTCCTCAAAGTTCCTTTGGAGAGCTTTGGCAGTAACAGATGCCCAGGAACAGTAGGGTGTTCGTTGATCCCTGCCTCCTGTTATCAGGGTCTCTTTGTAGCTGTGGATATTACCACATCTACCCCATCTCCCGTAGCCTGTAGTATACTGCTCCTGCCCCACAGCTGGCCTAGCTGTGGGCCACTCCTGAAAGCATGGTCTTGCTCAGCTGTCCTGTCCTTCCCACAGGCCTCCACTGCCAGCCCATTGTTGTTTGCCATCAAACCAGGAGTGCTGCACCACCAAGTGGCCCCCCTCGGGCCCCAGGCCCCCACTGAGACTCTCTTGGAGGCAGAAGTACTTCAACTCTCAGCCCTGCAAGTCCAGCCAACGGACCTGAAGCCAGGGCCCCAGCAGAAGGCTACACTGTGTGCTCAGCTGTGCCACTCCAGCTCTCAGGCTGGATCTTAACCTGTGCCACTGTAAGCACAAGTTTATGGGGCCCTGGTACTTTTCTTGTGCCTCTAGTACTACACTTGCCCCCAAAGTCAGCATCATTTCCTGAATGTTCACCAAATATTTCCAGCTTTAGCCCATGTGAGGGCACCTGGGCCTCTCCTAGAGCCCAGTGAAGGAGAGAGCAAAAGCCTCTCTGCTTGCTTCTCACTTCCCTGCTGGCAGTCTCAAGGGCAGTCTTAGTGTAGAAGTATCCAGGCGTAAGGGCCCTGGCACCCTCCTATCTCAGATCCTCTCTTGCCAGGAGAGAGGCCCTTCTCTACTAGGCCCACCAGCCTGCACCGCTGTGTTAAGGGTAGAGGAGGGATGCCCAGCCCGGTCCTCCCATCTGTTCTAGTCTAGGTAGATCCTAGCCTTGCTGTGGTGGGCTGGAGAGCAAAGGCTTTCTCTACACTGGTCCCAAGACGAGACAAGGGCTTGCCAACAACCTCAGCTCCTTTCCTCAGCTAGGGGTTTTTATGGGAGAGTGAAGGAAGCATGATCCTCATGGACCATTTGTTCGGTTCCCTGCCAGTTTCTTTTCAGTCCCTGGAAGGAAATGCTGGGGCCATCTCTTTTTGTACATGTACTACTTCCCTTTTCTCTTGTATATAAACCCCAACCTTCCCTCTCTCAACAAAAGCTTGAAGCACCAGGCTGTGTCTCCTCTTTGTAGGCTGGCGGGGGTGTGGGTGGGTGTGGGTGTGGGAAGTCTAAGTTGGTCACAGTGGTAGAAGCCTCCGTTTCAGGGAGGATGAGCTCAGGAGACTGGGGAAGGGAGAAGCTGGCTGGGTGGTCTCTGACCACACAAAGGGAACAAGCCTACATGAGACACGACTGCCCTCTCCTGGCCATCTGTTTCCCTGTTCAGGCCCCAGCTTGCCCCAATAGCAAATGAAGACAAAAGTCACTGGCCGTGTTATAAATATTATTTAAAAACAAAATTAACACACATACATTGGTTCCTAGGGCTAGAGGAAGCAGTGGTGGAGCCCCAGGGCAGGCAGCAGCAGGCACTGGTGCTAGACAAAGAGGCCGTGTCCACCAGCCTATCTGTTCCCCAGAGACCCCTGCACTCACACTGTACCTTCTGGTGTCACCCACCCCACATGATACACACCATCCATTTCTGGTCTGGGGCTGAGGGAAGGACTGCACTAGTTGTCCAGGAATCAGGGAACCCTTGAACACCAAAGCAGACCTTGAGAGGTGTCAGCTGTAGTGTGTTGGGGTAAAGTTACTTTAGCAAAAGTGGACATAGACCAGACAAAGAAAAGAGTCTGAGGCACAGTGAGGGTGGCCCAGGAGCCACTGCCTCACACAGGCCTGGTCCAAGGCAGAGAGCAGCGTGTTGGGTCACTGGTGGTCATCCAGCTGCTGTAGAAGCGTCCGCCGCCGCCTCTCCAGCTCCCCCTCACTCAGCTCACTTTCTGACGTGTCCCAGCCTGTCTGTTGAACAAAGGCATGGCTCACCCCAAGTTCCTTGGACAGAGTGCTGCCTGGCCGGCACTGGGCCCTGCATCTCACCTTCTCCTTCTTAATTCCAAAGCCTGGGGAGCGGTTAGGGAGCTCTGCCTGCCGAAGCTCCCTGTCCTTATCCTGTTCTTGTTCTTTCTCTTCACTCTCCTTGCCAGCTTTCTCCTCAGGGTCAGTTTCACTCTCAGGACTGTTCTGTAACAGTCCAAAGTGTACGTCAGCTCCCGTGCAGGACAGCTGGGAGGTGGGAGAACACAGCCCACAAAACAGCAGGGTCTTGGGCAGAGTTCTACTCACTGACTTGTGTCTTCTCTTCTTTGTTTTCTTTTTTGGTTTTTTGGCTTTGCGAAGGCCATGATCTGGAGATAGAAAAATGCCTATTAAGGGGCCAGGGAGATGGCTCAGTAGAATAAGTGTTTCCCTGGCAAGCGCAAGGGCCTGAGTTCAATCCGCAGTTCCACCAAAAAAAAAAGAAAAAAAGAAAAATGCCTATTAAATATCAAAGGGAAAAAAAGGAGGGCTCATCCTTTTCCTGGCCACAGCCCTCTCTGTTCGTTCTTCATAGACAAGGGCTCATGGTTTGAGAGCGCAGACTGGGAAAGGACAGGATATTGCTCTACTCACAACTCAGGCTTCACAATGCAGACCAACAACTGCTTACCTGATGCAAGAAGGTGGGAAGATGGGGAGCCCTGTCCTCCAAGGGCAGCACCCCCACTTTCCACTGAATCAAGTGAAGATGAGGGCTCAGAACCAGATTCGGAAGGGTTCCGCCGTTTCCACTTAGGGGGCCGGAAGGATGGTGGGGGCAGCTCCTCCTCTTCCGACTCGGAGCCCTAGGTGGGTCAGCACATACCAGTCAGTATAGAAATTCTCTGGTCTTCAGACCCCTTGCCTGGCAGTTGGGGACAGAATAAAGGAGATAGGAAGACCCAGGATCAAAGCAATCCTTAAATCTTCCAGGGGTAGTAACAGAAGGAAGAACCAAATTGCTTAGTTCCGAGAGCATTCATCCCTCCCTCTATTCTTTCTACCCAGCAACTCACTGAAGGCGAGTGGGAACGCTTTCGATGGTGCTTCTTGCCCTTTCTGCCATGTTTTCGGCCTTTGGTGTGGAGGTGCTGGCATTCGGTCTGCTAGAGACAATGGTGAAGAGGTGAAGGCAACATAGGCCTTTGGCTCAGGGAAAGCTAGAACCTCCTGCCTGTGGGCCCCTCAGCCTTCCCATTGTTAGCTGGCAAGGTAAAGGTAGCCTCTAGGATAAAAAGCCTTTGAAAACTCTTAAAACTGTTCAAATGCCTGGGATGGATCTCAAGAGCAAGATGCACACTCACTTCCAACACCTGCAGGAATTCCCGGAAGAGCAGGATCCGTTCCGACTCCAGGGTGATCTGCTCAAAGGCTGAGTCGCACACAAAGCGCTCACGGACCTTGAACGGGGAGAGCACTGCTGATGAGACCAGGCCCCACCTGGCTCAGGTTGGACACCGCCACGAGCACAGGGCAGGGCTGGGGCAGTGGAAACAAGGGAACTGGAGCTGGCCCAGGGCTGTCTGTGACTGGGGTGGGCCCGCAGTGGTGAAGCTCCGCTGCCCTCAGGCTTGAGGGTGACGGGCGCCAGGCTGCGCTCCTGACCTCTTCCCACGCAGTGCCCAGCTCCAGAGCAGGCACAGCCTGCCTCAGCATGCTTCGAAAGGCAGCTTCCCTGCACCGCATTCTTCGTGCCTCTTCCTTTTCCCTCTCCCTCTCCCGTGCCTCTGCTTTCTCCAGCAGCTAAGGGCAGAAAGGACACAGAACAGAATCACCAAAAAGGGTGGGTGCCTAGCATCTGCTCCCACATACTGAGAGGTAAGAAGTTGAGGTCTGGACTTGGCCGTCAATCCCCCAAACCCAAGTTATAATCCGGGGGCAATGAGTAAGCAGGAAAGGAATCAGGCATGAGTTCAAGAATAAGCCCCACCCCACCCAGCCCCTCACACTATTGAAGGTCAGCTTGATGTTGCCTGCGTCCAGCGCAGCAGCCCTCTTGTCAAAGCTTATGACGTGGGCGAAGTCCTCAAAGGCTGTGTTCACTTCCACACAGAAGCCCCGGTCCTGTGGGCATAGCAGCGCATGAAGCAGGGAATAGCAGCATGGACCTGAGGTAGGCCCATGGCTGATAGGCAGAGGGGTCACATGAGGCGGACACCTCAGAAAGCACTGTCTAGCTCCTCCTCCTCTGACAAGCCCCATGCCTACCGCTGGTTTGGATGTGTATGGAGCTGAAGAGGTTGAGAGGTGTCTCCAGGTCTGATGACTGAGGTCTGAGTTTCTCACAATTAGCTCTTTGTTTCTTTGGCTTAAAGCTGTGGCCCCTGCTGGGCTTTCCTGCTTCTCAGGGAAGCTTCCACTCATTCTCTATCAACATGTATTGCCAACTACCCTTTGGCTCTGTTTACTGAGTGCTTACTGGGTACTAGATACCCTACTGAGTGCTTCACACACACTTAACCCTTCTGTTTTCATTTAAGAACAGGCCTGCCAGGCAAGGAGATGCATGCCTGTAACCCCAACACTTGGGAGCCTGGAGGCTGAAGCAGGAGAACTGTTACAAGGTGGAGGTCAGCCTTCATTACATAGTGAGATCCTGCTTCAAAAAAACAGGAAAAACAAAGAACAAGTCCTAACATCCTAGTTTTATCAAGAAGAAATAAGAATACCTGCCTAAGGTCTTATAGCTACACCTATGGCTGGGCAAATAAATCTTCCCCAGGTCTTTCTAGCCCCAAAGCCTGTACTTTCAAGCACTACACTTACACAGACCATTTAGGTTCAACTCCTCAGCAACATTCAAAATGTGTCTGATTATAAGCGCGTGGCCAGTCTCCATGCTTCTCCCCTAAGCTTCACAGCATGCCCCTTGGGAGTTTTAGGAGCATGTTCATGCACTGTCCCCGATGAGACAAGCAGTAAGGAGGGCTGCTGGGTCCAAGTCAGCTGGGGTACAGTGAGATTCTCTCCGCCCTCGACACAGCTGCAGGTTCCTCCAGTCTTCTTGCTGATCTCTCTTCAGTACCTGCCCCTCAGGTACTGAGATGAAGGCTTCTATTTCCTCCTCTTTGCTGGCACCCTCTGCCAAGCACACACCATTCATCCACAAACACCCCCTGTACCCTACTCTCACCTTAACCCTTGCTGTTGCCTCATAATTACAAAATTTCTTGAAGTACAAAGGAAAAAACTAAACATTTGTTGAACAGCTACTATAAGCATGACACTTTCTTTGCAAATGGTACTCTCACAATCCGGAAATGGATTGTCCCCAACTTATAGAAGAGGAAACTGAGGCTCAGAAACACTACAAGAGGTCTCACCCAGCCAGTCAACAACCATGAGATTTTGAAATGTGTGCTGTCCCAAAGCCACTACCTTCTTGGTCACTGCTTTCCCAACAACCAAGCCACAGATTCCCGCTTGGCCCTCAAGCCATCTAGACTCCAGTGTGGCTAATGCTTCCTCTGTGCCCTCTACTTCTCTGACTTCTTCTGTCCCTTTCTTGTATGTCCGTGTTCCTAGAAAGATATTTTTCCATTACTGACCTACATTTTGCCTAGTAATCTAATCCTTTCCCTCTGCAGATTTCCAGACTACATTAGGCTCTCTCACAAATACTTCAGCACACCACTAGAGCATTCATTCCTCATGAGCTCCACACACATGCCCCCATAGGTAAGAGGTATTAGCAGGCCACCTGGTTATGGACAGCCATAGGGACTTCTGAGCTCGTCTATCCTGCAAAGGCAGAAGCCCAGATGGAGGAACAGGAAGCAACTGTCTCTGTCTCAAACAGCTTTTCTCTAAGGTGGTGCAGGGGACAGGATTCTGCAGGCCAGCTGGTAGTAAAACCCACTTTATAATTAAACTATACAATAGAAGTTCACTATCTTGGGATTAGGTATTTCTAGTTTGTATCCTTAGCCTGTTTAAAAGATGAGAGTTGCTTCTGAGAATTACTGGAAGTCCCACTCATGCCGCCCTGCTCTTCCTGTTTCATCCTGACCAATTGTCCCATCATCCACTGTCCTACTCTCTACCCATCACTCCTTACCTTTGGCTTCACAAAACAACCCAGCAGCAACTTAGTGATTATCCATTGGTTTTAAAGATTTTTTTTTTTCCCATTAAAAATCTTAGCACCTCAATACATAAAAGAGATGTAAAGCACCTCCACTTGAAAAATAGGACCATAAAATCCAGGGGCTTCTCCAAGATGCCATCTGATTGTATCATTACTTAGAAGATAAAAATCTAAATTATTTTTTGTTGTTTGGTTTTTTGAGACAGGATCTCACCATGTAATTCAGGCTGGTCTCAAACTCATGACAGTCTTGTCTTGGCTTCTTGAGTGCTGGGACTGTAGGCACGCACCACCATGCTTGGCCCATATTTCTTTTTATAGCACTCAAGGTACTACTACTTCTGCACCTTAGGTATGTGGTTCCAAAAAAAGCAGAAAACATCTTTCCTAATGGCAATTCTATAAATGTTGCATTTGTACTGTAGAAGTGAGCTGGGACCTTCCTAACTATTCCCAGCTTCCTCAACTAAGTTACCAAATTATGTTCCTCTGTAAGTGTCCTTTGGTGGAATACTCTTTTTTTTGGATGATGAAACTGATGCTCAAAAAGGTTAAAAGGCCTGTGTGAGATCATAAAACTACTAAGGGCTTAATCTGGACTTTAACCCTCTGCAGTCTGCAGGTCCTGCTCCTAACCACTCTAGTAGACTGTTTCCTCAACTACATTAGAATGTTTTGCACTTCTGTAACAAAATGGGCTTTCTCTCTCTCACCCCTTTGGGACACAAAGCTCCTTTCACTTGTTTACTAATCTTTTCTGTTTTTAATTTTTTTGAGACAGAGCCTTACAGTGCAGTTCATACTGGCCTTGAACTCACTCTGCAGGACAGGTGGGCCTGTCATCATGATCCTCCTGCCTCAGCATCCTGAATGCTGGGATTATAGGTGTGCGCCACCATACTCAGCTTGTCTTTTCTAGTTTTGATAGGGACACAGAACTCCAATGTAAAACATGTGACAGTGAACTGCAGCAGACACTTGCTCTAATACTAAAAACAACAAGGTGAGGGAAGAATGACATCCTTTCAGAGTAATGGCAGCTCAGCTTGAGTCCAGTGAATGCTTTGCAAAATTAGCCCAAAGCTGCCAAATAATCTAAGTTGATAAGAGATTCTGAAAAAGATTTTATTTTTTTAAAAATTTTATTTATTTATTTATTTATGTGTGTGTGTGTGTGTGTGTGTGTGGCCAGCTTAGTCCACCAGGGGGCGGGGCTGGCTGGCATGTGGTGCTGGGGATTGAACCGCGGTCCCTGTACTTTGCTCAACTTGTTCTAAGTAGGTGCTTTAGACCACTGAGCCATCTCACCAGCCCCTGAAAAAGATTTTAATATGAAATCTCCTGACTTAAAAATATTAGCAATAGCCCAGCACATGCCTTTAATCCCAGCACTTAGGAGGCTGAGGCAGGAGGATCGTTGAATTCTAGGCTAGCCTGTGCTACACAGTGAAGTCAAGGCTACCCGGGCTATATAGCAAGACTCTGTCTCATAATTGACAATGAATTCCTTTTTTTTTTAAATTATATATGCCAGTATGAACAGCTATAGGCTTACAAGTAGCTATACTTGTTGCTCCTCAAACCTACCATGACCTTTGTACCTTACAACGTCTGTTTCTGTAGTACCCTTATGCCTTGAACATTCTACTCTTCTCTACCTACTCCTAAACAGAAGTTCAAATTTATCAGTTCCTCTGATTCTTATAATAACCCTTGACTCCTGCACTCCTACTGGGCCACAACACTCATAAGAGCTGAAATTGTGGCTTATTACAGAGTCACCAAGAGTATACATGGGGCCGGAGAGATGGCTCAGTGGAATAAGCGCTTCCCTGGCAAGCGCAAGGGCCTGAGTTCAATCCCCAGTTCCTCCAAAAAAAAAAAAAGAGTACACAGATAAGGCCCACAACTGTTATGTACTGAGTAAGTTGCCATCTCCTACAAGATAGGCATAGAATTTATCAGGGGGTCCTATCCAGGGAGTGTGGCTCCCACCTGGCAAGTATGCATCCATAATGCTGGTCCCCCTCACCTTAAGAATATCCTTTATGATCTTCTTTTCATCATGGAATCGAGCCTTCAATTCCTCCACATAGAACTTGAACAAGTCCAGAGGGGTGGATCCTGCAGGGAGGGAGGGAGGGGGGCCTGGCGGGCGGCAGCTTCCCAAAGCCTGGGGTAGGATCGAGGTCAGGACCAGGGTGTGGGGGTGTAAAGAGGTTGGCAGGGCAGGAAACCAGACCAGAGAAGGAGAGCCTGGCTGCCTTACCCGGCTGGCCTAGCATGTTGGCAAACCGGATGTCAGTGCTGACTGCTGGATATAGCTCCATCCAGGTGGACATGGAGTGCAGCTTGCCTGTCTCATGCAGTTCGTCCAGGAAGGTCTGAGCAGGGAGATGCAAGTAATAGAAGAGTGAGACAGAGCCAGGGACTAGGACAGAAGAAAAAAACGGCAAGAGAATGGGCAAGAACAATCTAGACAGGAAATCCAGGCAAGGGAGGCAGATGTGGAGGAAGAAGACACTACAAAGGGAGAGAATATAAATAGAGGGACAGAACAAAAAATGAGAATGAGCCAGTCTGGGAGGCAATAAAGCAGAAACCTGCCAGCAGCAAGTCTTCTATGACTTGGCTTCAACTTCCTGACATGATCAGCTAAGTCACCCCACACTGCCATTTCTAAGCTGGAGGATGAGGAAATACACATGGCTCAGCCACCACACTGTGCCTACACATCTGGTCTCCCTAGAGGAGTACAGATGAAGCTGAGCAGACGCACTAACAGAACTGCAGGCAGAGGCCTTGGAGGGCTTGGATAAGTCTGGGGAAAAGGCAGGCAGCTTAATCTAGAGGCAAGGCACAGGTGAAGAGGCTATGGTCTGGGGCAGGGACAAGCTCTGATCGCCAAGTACAGTGAAGATACCTGGAAGGCCTCCCGGTTCTTGCGTTGCTGGCGACGTTCCCGAAGCCGGGCCCGTTCCCGCTCTTCCTCCTCCTCCCTCTCCAAAGCTCGGATGTGCTCCTCAAAGCAGATCAGAGCATCCTCCTTGTCCATGTCTACATTTAGGAAGAAGGTTCAGCAGGCACCAAGAACAAGGCCACCTTTTAAGATTCTAGCACTCCCTTATGTCTGAAGGATGATATCCCCATCGGTGCTGGGGACACCCAAGTTAGTGGAGAAAGGGAGAGGGATATGTGGGAGCAGCTGCTGCAATGTTGGCTTTTGAGAAGAGAGTCACTGTACTAGAAAAAAGCAGCAAGTACCCAGCTCTGGTGAATCCAATTATTAAAACCTAGCACATGATACTCATTATCTCAGGATCTGAGGTTTCACATCTTAGGAAATCAGAAATTAGTCAGCTTTTGATGAACTTCAGAAGATAAATTTCTCCTATCAGTAACCACAAGCCAGCAACTTTAGCATATGTGACCAGTTAAAGCCCACAGTGTTTTAGGGCCGGCCAAATAGCTCAGTGGATTGAAGTGCCTGCTTAGGCAGACGCAGCAGCCAGGGTTCAATCCCCGGTGTGCCAAGCTGGCCCCGCCCCACCCCCGGGCATGCTGAGATGGCCACTGAGACTGGGCGTGGTGGCGTGCACCTGTAATCCCAGCTCTTGGGAGGCTGAACACAGGCAGATCACTATGAGTCTGATCTACAAAGTGAGACCCTATAGACCCTGCCCTAAATAAAAAAAAAAAAAAGCAAAGCCCAGTGTTTTGACCATTTAAGGCCATAATCACATGAACTATAAATATCACTATCATCTCTAGGACTTCTGTTTCCTATCCCAGAGGTCTTCCTCAAAAACACATTGGTCCAGGGCAATAGAGGAGCCCAGAGGGAAAGGGTGTCCTAAAACATTCTAGGAACCCGATTCTGGAGGTACGGTGACTGCGTGTTTGGGACTTCTAGGATGGGAAGGAGGTACAGGACAGTGATGTGAGGTAGGCTAGGGTGGGTATGGGTGAGAAAAGGGACAGATGGCAGTGGGGACCAGGGCTTACTCTGCAGCTGATGGTCTTGTGCAAAGCTGGGGTTATCCATGAGGTACTGCTGGGCTTGGGACCAGGTGGTTTGAAAGTTAACACTACTCATCCCATCCAGGATGCTCTTCAGAGCCTGGATGTTGCGGCGCCGAAGCTGCTTGGCCTGTTCCTGGGAAGCCAAGGTATCAGGGTGAGGTGAGGCAGGCCAGAGCTACCCAAGTGGGCCTGGCAGGATATAGGGAAAGGAGATAGCTGGAGAACCTAGATAGAAAGATCTGGAAATGGAGGAAGTACAAGTCACACACCAGCCTCTCAAGACTCCTTCTGGGCAACAGGCCCAGGGCAGACATAAGGAGATGCACAAGTGCCACACCAGATTCCAAGTAAGGCGCTTGGACACTGGGGATTGGAGAAATGAATGGCCAGGATCCATAAGGAAGCAAAGACAAAGGCAGTATGGAACAAGACTGAGGCCAAAAGATCCAGCCCACTGACCATTACCTTCTCCTTCTTGGCGAGGAAGAAGAGGACATCATCATAAACCTCTTTTCGGTCCCTCTCAGGGACCACAGCCCAGACCTCCAGCTCCCCAAAGGTCTGTTCTGCCCGCCTGTGGAGCAGATGGGCTGTTAAGTAGGCAGGCAGAGAACAGACCCCAAAGCTTTTTAGTTCTCGGGATTCCCAGGTCCCACCCCAGCCCAGCTCCCTGACCGGTAGCGGGTGGTGGAGGTCATGCGTTCATGCTGCTCCAGGAAATGCTGCAGGGTCTGCTTGGCTTCCTTGGCCCTCAGCCGGGCCTCCTCCTTTTCCTCCTCCCGCTGTGCCTTGTAGGCATTGAATGCTTGCTTTTTTTCACTGAGTTTGGGCAAGGCACTGGTGTAGAAAGGATAGGAGTAGGGTGGAGTTGGCCTAATCCACCTACACACCCCACAAAGTAGGATCACAGGACACTGGGGAAGGGTTTCCACAGGGCTGTGTGGAGGATCCATGCATGGGCTCAGCACACAGACGTCTACAATGTAGGTAGAAGAGAGCCAATGGGGGGAGATGTAATCTCAAAATACTACTAACACTTCTGCTTTGGGGTCATAAGTTGCCTCAGATCTCAGTCCTATTCATCAGGCCTTTCCTCCAATTAATTCAATTCAACCCAAAAATCATTTATTGAATGTCTTATGTCAGATACCTTCCATTTCTTTCCTGGAGGCCTTTCACTTTCCCTTCACCTGTATCCCATGAGTCTACTACTTTCCTAATTTCAGCCCCCATTTCTCACATGGCTCAGGTGCCTTCATGAATGAGGCCTGGCTGCCTCTACCGAGGCCTACCTGTAACGAGGATCGGTGACCACCATCTTCATGGCCTGTTCCCACGAGGCATTGGAGGGGACAGCCTAGAATGTAGCAGGCAGGGGTCACGGGGCCTGCCCACCTCCAGCCCCCTCCATGCCTTTCCTGGGAGTCCCGCCCTCAGCACCTTGTCCCTCAGCAGCTCCTTGAATGCCTGCTTTGCCTTCTCCCGGTTGCTCCAGCTGAGGCCAGACCTCTCTGGTTCTGGCTTGGGTTCCTCCTCCTCCTGCTGTGGTAGCTGATGCTGTCCAGCAGAACTGGAGGCAGATGGGACTCAGCTACAGGGCTCCCAGCCAGCACTGTTTTTCAATGCCCTGCACTTTCAGCAACACATCACCCCCTTCTTGCTTCCCAGGGTGGCCTCTTTCTGCCTCCAAAGGTCATACCTAGATCTATATGCCCCTCCTGGGAGGCTGGTGGAGGATGAGGGATGAGCCAGGCTAAGAGCCTGAGGTCCACATGTGGAGTGTCATGAGGCAGCCCTCACCTGCTAGAGCCTTCCTCCACCTGCTGCAGGAACCCCTGCTCCAGGGGCTGGCCAGCCTCCGACACATCACAATCTTCACTTCCATCTGGCTCAGTTTCCAAAAGGCCGGTGGGCCCTGGCGTAGGGCCAGGAGGTACAGGTGGGGGGTCAGGCTGTGGCTGAGGAGGCTGTGGCTGTAGTGACTGGGGTTGCTGTTTCCTGCAGGCAAGCCAGAGGACAGTGTTAGTGCAGGGACAGAGAAGGACAAGGGGTAAGTAGTTTCATTAGCTAGAGCAGATTCATGAGGAGACTGACAGCTGACTCCTCCCACAGAGTGAAGATAATGGAAAGATCACCCACTCCCACCCTCCAAATTTAGATGGGTAGGTGGTTAAGTCACTCACCCTGTAGTATCTTGTTTGGCTAGAGCTGTAAGAAAAGAAAGATAGTCACAGGGCAGCACAGGACCCACTTACCCCTGGCCAAACCTCCTTGCCCCTTCCTCCCAAGATCTCCTCACCCTCCAGGTCATCCAAATCCTTTGGCCGGGTCCAGCAGGACTCCTGACTCTGGTTGTTATAGTAGTAAGGTTTGCCTGTGTCTGACTTGTACTCTTTCCAGGGACTTTGGGACAGCAACAGCTGCAAAAGGATGGGTCAAAGGACATCAGTAGGCTGGAAAGTTCTCCAGTCATAATCAGAAAAGCAAAGGGGATCTCAGTGAATAGAGGACATATGTAGCCCTTAGCTATTATCTTGCCAGGTTTGAATGGGGGAAGGTGGATTTCTTGAGGTCCTGGGAAAACACTTCCAGGTAGTAAACGGGTGAAATTAGGGATCTTGGTATCAGAGGAACCACAGTGAGCATGGTTACAGATTCAGGGGTGGTCAAGAACTTGGAAGGGTCAGGGCAGCTGAAAGGAAGGGCCAGAAAGCCCCACTCAGGACCTCCGCCTTGGACTTGAGCACGCTGGGCTTCTCCCACACGGACTGCTTGTCGTCAGCATTGTAGTAGTAGATGCGCCCATCAGGGGCCACATGCTCACTCCAAAGGGCCCTCTGGGGGGGGGGGCACAGAACGGTGGTCAAGGCCCTTTTCCAAAGTCTTTCTTCCTCACCCCGAAGATTCTGCCATCAGCCTCCCACTTTCAGCCTTTCTGCCCAGAGACCCAAGCTAAAAAAACTCACCGGAGGACCTGTCCCAGCCACAGCAGCTAGGAAAGAAGCCAGAGAAAACACCTTAAGACTTTGTTCGAACCCCCATCTTATCCCCACCTAATCCTCCCTTATTCCAATCCCCAATAAATATCCCCCTGGTCCCATCAACATCCCAAGCTCCCTAGCGTCCCACAGGCATGATCAGGATGGGCTCCAGTCCATGGTCCCCTCTCCCTTATGCCCCCCAACCTCCGAGCCTGGGGGAAGCAGACCCCCCAGAAGACTCACAGCTGGCGGTGTCCGCACCCGGAGCCGTCTGCCGAAGAAAGAGGAGGGGGAAGGGTTGGGGCCAAGCCCAGTGGCCCCCAAGACCCAGGCCATGGGGGATGGAGAAGCAGGCCAGGCCAGGATCCGTGTATCCTGCTTCCAAGAATCTCTGCTCCCTAACAGGCCCCCTCCCCTCTGTCAAGGCCATGGCTTTCAGATCCCAGGGGAATCATTCAGCAGCTCCTTTATTTTCCACAAGTGAGAGAATGTTGTCAACTTGAGGTGCATCTCTTCACAGTGCATGGCAGATTCTACATCCCACTCAGACTCTACCATACTGAGCAGCACATAAAAAAGCACAATAAGATGCCTGGGTGCCACCGCCTCCTGAGGAGGCTAAGATGATGTAAAGCAGGGACCATAATACTGTCTACAGTGTATGGTCCTCTGGAGGGGAAGGAGTGTCTGGCACGGGTATGCTTCTTCAGAGTGTTGGATACAGCAGAGGGAATAATGAGAGAACACACAGCCTTCAGTGATGAGCAGGAAGTGAATTATTGAGATTAACTGGTGAAAAAGATTCAAGAGTGGGGAACAAAGTGGATATACGAAGGGACCAGGGTGGATATAAGAGGGAAAGAATGGAGTCCATTATTTGTGTACTCCAAGTTATACCCACAGGACTGCAGGGCAGAGCCTGCTTATTGCCAGCCCCTTGTGCTTACCGCTGCGGTGACAGGCACTGCTGGCATCAGCATTCCTGGCATCATCGGAGGTACCATTCCTGGTATCTATGAATATAAAAACCAGTCACTGAGGGGCCGGGGAGATGGCTCAGTGGAATAAGCGCTTCCCTGGCAAGCGCAAGGGCCTGAGTTCAATCCCCGGTTCCACAAAAAAAAAAAAAAAAAAGAAAGAAAGAAAGAAAAACCAGTCACTGAGATGAAGTCATTGTCTCTTGTCAGTCAGGGTCCCCTGTGGGTTCAGAGATCGAGCTGGGACCATGACTCTCATTCACGTACCTCTTTAGGGCAGCCCAAGGTTCTGGGCTCTGGCCTTTCCTGAGAGTTGTCTCTTGTCACTCAGAAGACAAATCCACATGAGCCTGGCCCAAAACTCCCTCCTCCACCCAATTTCTAAAGCCGGTTCCCACTCTCACCTCTACCCTCAGTAAAACCTGAGAGGGTTTCCTGAGGCAGCTGTGGAGGGAGACAATTACCTGTGTGAGTGGTGGTGGTGCCCCCATTGGTGGAAGCATTGGGGGCAGGATGCCAGGTGGCATAGGGGGGATGGCTGGTGGTCTCTGACTCATGGGAGGGAGCCCCATCGGAGGAAAAGGTGGGGGAATCCCTGGAGGGGGCATCTGGAAGTGAGGAAAGGAAGAGATTGAACAGAGAAGACACTGCCTTATTGGGGAGGGGCAGAGAAGACCCATCAGGAAACAGCCACCTGTGCCCACCCAGCCCTCCACCCTGGCTTGGAGGCAATTCCAAGGTGTTCATTTGAGAAGCAAAACACACAAAACTGCCTTTCTCCTTCCCACTGAGAAAGATGGACAACAGGGGCATTCTCTGGGCCTAACAGGTAAGCAAACAACTTAAGAGGTGGGGAGGGTAAGGGAAAGGGAAGTGGAACAGCACCAGACTTTGGGGAGGCTGTGTCCTTTGGTACTCCTGCCCAAGAAGCCTCTCAGTCAAGGGTCAGAAGGCAGGCATCCCCTAGTCCTCTGTCTCCCATCCCTTTCTCTCCAACTCATGACCACCAATGCTATTCCAGCCCAAATTCTGTGGCTTTTTAAAAGAGCACAGGCAAGGAGTAGTGAAAGAGAAAGACAGTCCCACCCTGCTCTCACTCTAATGGGGTCTTTTTACTTCCACTTCTACCTCCAGTCCCAGTGTGTCCCAAGAACAAAAAGACAGGGGGAACTGGCTGCTTTATGAACTTGAATTTAACAATATCTCTCCCCACCCCAATGCCCAAACAAAACCACCCCTCTTCCAAGGGGCATCACCATGCTGGCAAGGCAGCAGTGGCAAGGGCTGGGGAACTGAGGGTACAGGCTGGAAAAGCCAAGCCCAGGGAAACACACAAAACTTACGAAGGGTGGTGGCATCATGGGGGGCCCCGGTGGGAAGGGGGCAGGCGCTGCTGGGGGCCGGGGACCAGAATCGGGAACCGACTGTTGAGGGAGAGAAAAGTCATAGGACCCAGGATGGGCACAGAGATGGGCTTTTGTGGAAGGGAAGCAGAAAGGGTGAGGAAGAAAAAGCAGCACAAAGTTGAGAGTGGGTCTCCAAGCCCAGTTTTCCTGCCCGCCCCAAGCTTTGAGCCCTCTCTGTGCCAGCCCAAAGCTAGCCAGCTGAGACCTTAAATGCCATCTCTATTTTGGAAGCTTCCATTTTGCCACAGAAAAGATGTAGAAGGCTCTCTACTGCAAGCATAAAACAACTCTTCCCAAGTTTTAACCCATTCTCCTGCTTGTGGGTAAGGCTATGCCTCTCTCAAGTCAGTTAGGACTAGCCTCTTCCTGTTCTCTTACTTGAATCCAAAGCTCTCCAAACACAAATAGGTGCCACCCCTTTCTTCACAGTCTCCCTAACTCTCCTCTCTTCACTACTAGCTTCTTTCTCCCCTAACTAGCCTCATCTTTAGCCAGCTACTCTCTTTGATATCATCCGATCCCAATCACATCATCTGTCTATACTACTTCCAACCCTTTTTTGGTGGTCACCTCTCAAATCCTTTATATTCTTTTGAATTCAGACTTTGAACAGCCTAAATATCCTTGCGCTACATCTATGGCTGATCACATCTCATCCTTTTAGTAGCCTTCCTGGGCCCATTTAAAGTAGCTCTTTCCAATTATTCTCTGTATGACCCACTTTGGTTTTCTCTTGTACATGTTTGTTGCTATATTTGCCTGGATATGTGTATTTCCCGAGAGCAGGGATCATTATCGGACTTGCTGAAAACTGGATTCCTGGTACCTGCCATGGTGTCTGGCACATAAATGTTGAGTGAAAGAATAAATAAAGGACTATATAGAATCTTACAATTCTGTAAAATGATCCTATAGATATAGTCCCACGTGTCCAAAATGATGTAAGTTTTCATTTCATTACTGTTTTTATGAAAAGATTAGAATCAGCCTAAATATCTATTTGTAAGGAACTATGAGAATAACATGAATGGTACGTGATCTTAAAGAAGAATGCACTATCTTGATATGGACCACCAGCAAGTTTCACTTGTATAAACATCAGCAACAGAAGATGACAAGATGGTGGCAGGAGGAAAAAGTGGGATAGTGTCTATTGTATGCTTTTTTTTTTTTTTTTTGGTGGAACCGGGGATTGAACTCAGGCCCTTGCGCTTGCCAGGGAAGTGCTTATTCCACTGAGCCATCTCCCCGGCTTTTTGGGTAGCTTTTGAATATACAACCATAGACTATATTATCTGTTTTAAAACACCTAAGTGTACTGAGGGTTAGAAGTACAACTAAAAGGCCCTGCTCTTCTCTTTGCCTAAAAATTGTGGGTGTGGCTGAAGTGCTCTGGGGAAGGGTGGCAGCTGGCAGAAGCCACCTCACCACTATCCAACTTCCCTACTTCCTCAGTTAGCCCTTCGCTAAGAAGACTCACCATTTAAAAATGTTTCCTAAGCTCTACAGTTAGCAATATCTATTCTTCATTTTGTCATAAGAAGACAATATACGAGTTACTTTAGTCAAACCCGACTCACCCTTTTTTCAGTGCTCACCAACAGCCCTGTATTCAGATCTGCTCCTGCCACCCTAAACTTTCCTCAGCATAGAATGTCAAAAACCTAAAGGAGGGTAAGGGATACAGTTTTCTGTGCCATATTCTGTCACCTCCAGCTGCCTTTGGAGCATCTCTAGTCTCTCATAGTCATCTTGGGATCTAACCAGACCCAGGATTGCCATCTCCAAAACTGGCACCACCATTCAGCAGTCCAAGACCAAAACCTAAGTGTCACTCTCTACAGCTCCTTCAATACATCACTGAGTCTGGTTAATTTTACCTCCAAAAGATTTCAATCTACTTTTTTCCATTTCCTCTTCTACTCCATCATCCCCTTGTCCATGCTACAATTTTTTTTTTTTTTCATCTGATCTATTGCAGTGGCTTCCCAACTGTTCTTACCATATCCATTCCAAGCTGTAGCCAAACATCTCAAAATGCACCTCAGATCATTACTTCCCTGCTTAAAACGCTTCAATGACTTTCCACCAAGCCCTCTCCTTGGGTCTGTAAGGCTATGGAGGTCTGCTGCCACCCGCCCTGCCAGCCTCACCCCTGCCCAGTTCCCAGTCTGTGCTCCAGGCACACAGATCTTCTCAGCTCTCCCACTTCAAGCATCCACCCATGCTATGGCAGCCTTGCCAGCCAGACTACACACACTTCACATCCACCAAGGCCCTGCACTGGAAAGTCTTTCCCAGCTCACTGTATGGGTTAGAACCCTTCCTTTTATGTTCACGCAATACCTATACCTACTCTTCAGCAATTATCCACTGGAATTTTAAGTATTTGTGCAAGTCTAATCATACTGATAACTTATGTGGCACTAATAACAAAACAAATGCTTCTCATTAAATTATAATACCTCATTGATTTTAAGATGCATCCTGACTCAGGATTGTTAAGATGAATTTTAAATTAAATTGTATCTGTACCCTCACTAAACTGAAAACTCTAAGGGCTCCACAAGTGCTAAAAAACAAACACACCCTGTGGACAGCAGGGGCCACTGGGAAGACCCAGTGGTAGTAATGGAACACAGAATATTAGAGCTGCAGCAAAGTCTGGCAACCAAGCCTTTCTTCATCTGAGAAAGACAATAATAATATCCAAGGTTCCACAGCTGATTAGGAACAAAGCCAGGACTGGATCCAATTTGCCCAGCAGCCTGCATCCTTTAAAAGCACACATGGTCCTTCACATGGTCAAAACGCCAAGGATCCAACACTTTCTTGAGAACCAAGGGTGGTTCCCTATTGCCTACCCTACAAAATCTAATGAAGTCTTTTAGTAAAGCCTATCCTGCAATCTTGGCCCAACATTTTCCCACCTCCTCTTTGAAAATAAATGTTAAATTACTCCCATGTATTTCTTTTCTTCTACTTTGTCTCCTGCTTTGTTCAAGATGATCCAATATTCACCTCCTTCAGGTTACTTTTATACTACCTCTTGACACACTCCTACCTACCTGTGTCCCTTTAGGATAACTGCTGCACTACTTTGCACAGTAACTGTTCTGTGAAGGTTTGCTGGGTGTTTCATGTGAGAGTACCTGTTTCCCCACTCAGGTGGAGATTTCCCTGCACACAGTGACTGAGTTTTTTCCTTTTAATCTTTCCTCGGTGCCTAGTCAGAGTCAACACACAGAGTACTGTCAGAAATGCTGTCTCAGTCCTAATCTTACTAGATTTTTGCATAACGAAATACCCTAAAACAGCACATGCATATATGCCCATGTATCTTTTTTAAATTCTGTAAATACAGGTCAAGATAAAAAAAGGTAGTTTGGCAGAGGTCTTTTTTGCTTGGGGAAACTGGAATCAAGTACCAGCTGGAAAAACTATCTTCAATTAGGGATGGAGACCTACGACCAGGATTTAGACACTGGTTTATTTCAGTCAGTTCCCCAGAGAATAAAGCAATGGGATGAATGTAAATTACTGGGCCAGGGAACTAACTCAGTGGCAAAAGCGCCCACCTGGCAACCACAAGGTCCTGAGTTTGATTCCCTGTACCAAAAAAAAAAAAAAAAAAGTACATTACTATGGAACTTTCAAAGGCTTCTCTTAGAACTTCTCCTATGTCTGCTTACACTTCTGGGACAGAATATCAGAAATAACTAATTCAAGAGAGGGTCACAGGGATGGGAACTGAAAGAGAAGCAGAAAAAACACATTTAGGAGCTGGGGAGAGGCAATGAAAAGACTCTCAATCATCATGTGTTCACCTCAGCCCTGGAAAGATCCTACCACCACCACCACAAAGATACAGTCAATCCTTGGCTTTCACATTAAAGGGAATCTCAGAACTGAGCATTCATAAAAGGACAAAAGGAGAAAAAGATAAGAATGAAGAGATAGAAAAGAGAATGGAAAGACACAACAGTTAACAGATGTTTACTGAGCACCATTAGGAGCCAAATACCATGCCAAACACTCATTTAATCCTCGCAGCCATTTTAAGAGGTCATTATACCCATTTTAGAGACAAGCTGAAGTTCTGAGAGATTGAATTTCTTACTTGACCAAGGTTCCAAGAGATTAAATGGCAGAGGCTGGTTTGGAATCCAAGCAGTTTGACCCTAAAGTCTGTGCTTTAAACCACTCCACAACGCTTCCAGCAAGGAGGAGGGTACTACAGATGGTATTTCTTACCCTCAGATGCACTCCCCAGTTTTCTCTTCACCCCAATCCTCAGAGTTCTGAAATGCTCGGAGAGCCAGAAGATCCCAAGGTCTGCCTGGTCTGACTCACTCCCACTCCCTGAAGAGATGTGTTAGAAAACAAAGGCCAGAAAGCACCCTCTCAGAAGGAGGTAGCCATCATCAAGAAGGAAAAGCTAAGGGCTAGGGCTAGGGCTAGGGCTAGGATGAATCACTTGCCTAGATGAACAAAGCCCTGGATTCCATTCTCCGCACAGAAAGAGAAAGAGAAGGAGAGTGTTGAAGAGAACAGCTGATAAAATCTACCTGCTACCTTCTTCAGCTGCTCCCAAACAACACCAGCTCCTCCTTCCTTGTTCTCCAAATCTTCCTAGTCCACAAGCTCCTGTACCAGGCCCTGCTGTTCCTCTTACACCCAAAGGGCCTGGGGTCTTTCCTGAAAACACGTTCCCATTGCTTCTATGATTTTCCATCACCCATCACCTCCTTATTCTCCTGAGGAACAGAACGTTACTCTGATCCTCATCTTTCTTGAATCAAGGCTCAAATCTAAAGACTTCTCCGGTCCCTCCCACTGGGAGCCGGCCTCAGCAATGCAGGCTTTTTGCTCCCCTCCCCCACATCCCTGGGGATTTTCTCCAGGCCGACTAAAGGCCTTGCATATATCTCTACATTTCCCCCATATCCTAGAATCATTCGCCATAATTTTCTCTTCAAAAAACGTCCCACTATGAGGCCAGAAGGCATCTAGTATATCATTTTCATCAATTTTCCTTTTTAAAATTAAGTCAATAAGAAATCCAAGGACCTAAAGAAGGCAGTGACTTGCCCAAGGTCACACAAGAGTTGGTAGTTTGATGATGGCAGAGTCAAGGCTGAAACCTAGGGGACTCTAGTCTTCTATTTCGTGGACTCTTCAGCACTGGGATAAGGGCCAGGAACCCTTCTTTCCTCAAAAGCCCCTTCCTCCCCTCAAGAGACAAGGTCTTGAAAATGAGAGGAAAAGGAGAGTCCCCTCGTGATCCAAAGGGGCACCCAGAGCTTCCAAAGAGAACAAGTGCTGGGTCTGGGGGATGGGCATGGGACACTAAATATCCCAGAAGGGAACATGTGGTCCCCACCTCCCCCTTGTCCCGTGGTAGTCTCCTCTCCTGCCTCTCTTCCTTCTCGACATTCCTCCATAAACCCACCCTTCACCACTTCTTCCCTCTTGTCGACTCACCGAGTCGCAGCAACTCCCGTCTCCCTCAGCCTCCGGCCTCAGACCCCTATAGACACCAAGCTCCATCATGGCCTCCCCCAGCCCTTCTCCCCCAAATCCCCGCCCCCATCCCCCTCCTGGGCTCCCCTTCCTCTCCCCTAATTCCCCGCGGCCTCCCCAGGGTCCCAGGTACCCTCGGTGGCCTCCCCGTCTTCCCGCCCCCAGCCCGGGCCGCAGGGGGCGCTGTGGGACCTCCCCAGGCCCTTCCACCCCCGCACGGGGGACGTTACCATGCCAGAGCCTCCGAGCAGCTGAGCCGGCTCGGCCCACTTGCCAGTAAAAGCTGTTCTGATTGGTCAGGTGGCAGCCGAAAGGGCGGGGCTAGGGAGGGTCGCACCCCTTCGTGGCCGGGACTCCGGTGTCTCCCGCCGACTAGCGGGGCTCGCAACCGGGCCGGTGCGCCCGGGCCTGGCTCCGCCCCCCGGCGCGGAGAGCCAGGCCCCGCCCCCACATCGCCGGGTCCGGGGCCCGCCCTCCGGGGGCGGGGTGCGCGTGCGTCCGCCTCTGATTGACGCCGGCGGGCGCTTGGCTGCGCGGAGGCGCGCCGAGCGCTGTCCCGGGTGCTCGCCGCCCGCGCGTCTCTGTGATTCCGGCCTCCGCTTCCAGCCGGCTGCCTGCGCTACACCCAAGGCCTGGATGAGGACCGGGTATAGAACAAAGCGTTTTTTCTGTGTACCGGGCACGTTTTCACTTCACAAATCACTTTAAAATGTTTGTATTTACCACTCTAAGATTAATTAACTCAAGAACTTTTTTTTTTTTTGAGACAAGGTCTCACTATGCTGTTCAGGTTGGCCTTGAGCACACTTTGTAGCCCAAGCTGGCCTCGAACTCACAGTGATCTTCCTGCCTCTGCCTCCAGAATGCTGGGATTACAAGCATGTGCCACCATGCCGGGCCTTAACTCAAGAATTTAGGGGCCAGGGAGATAGCTCAGTAGAAGAAGTGCTAGCCTGGCAAGCACAAGGCCCTGAGTTCAATCCCCGGTTCCACCAAAAAAAAAAAAAAAAGAATTTATCGAGCACCTGTAGCAGGCACTAAGCATAACCCCCCTCAAAAAACTCCTGCCCTCAAGATTGTACAGATGCTTCTCACTTAACCCTGAAGTTACTTTTTTAAAAAAATTTATTTATTTATGTGTGTGTGTGTGGCCAGCTCAGCCCACCAGGGAGCAGGGCTGGCCGGCATGTGGTGCTGGGGGATTGAACCATGGTCCCTGTGCTTTTGCTAAGCTTGTTCTAAGTAGGTGCTTTAGACCACTGAGCCATTTCACCAGCCCTGAAGTTACTTTTTAAATCTAGCACCCACCAAGCGGTGAGCTAAAGATAGGTGGTACCTGGTCTTTTATAAGAATAAAAGAGATAAATTATGTTGTCCAGATAAGGGAACTGTAACCCCAAACTGTTTAACAAAGCCAAAGGTCTCTGACAATTGACAAGGCTCTAGGAAACTGATCCAGAAAGAAATTGAGCACCTTCACTCCAAAGCCTGCTTCCTTTGTTCATAGGCACTTAACCTCAGCCTATACTCTGTGCCAATACTATGCCGGGTTTTTTAGATTCAAAGTACTCTGAATCGGGACCCTAACTGCAAGGAATTTAAAGTCAAACAGGAGTGAGGTAAGAAAACATCCAAGTCCAAGTAGAAATCCTGAATTAAAGATGACAAGTAGAAGGAAAAGGAAGTGGGATTCACTTTAGAGACCACTAGAGAGAGAAGGCTCATAGTGGTTTTATTTTATTTTATTTTTATTTTTTAATACAACAAGCATTTATGTAAGGTACAGTATCTGCAGACCAGATAATTTTTGAACTGTATGTTTCAGGGTTAACTAAATTCATAAAAATCTTTTGAAGATAATTGCATCCACAGACTTCAACTATGTGATGACTTCTTTGCCCATTCTTGTTTTTCTTTTCTTTTCCGAATAACCTCTTTGAGATGTGGCTCAAGGTAGAATTTATCTGCCTATTTTGTCCACTGTTCTTTAGGCATGATCTGATGCTTCACGCTCAGGTCCAGGGCTCTCTTAATGGGAAGCATCCTGTCATTATGAAGGTCTTCTGGAAGCCTTCTTACGGCTTCTTTTACATCTTCATCTTCATATATTGTAACATCTCGCACTAAGCCCAGCTTAGTGAACCCTGCAGCACTGTAATGCTACTTCCGAATACCTTCCAGCCACCGGCTTGATGCTGCGACAGCTGGAGGGGCCGCCATTTTGACCCGAGCCTCATAGTGGTTTTAAATCACAACCATATCTAGATAGCCTCAAGTGACAGCCCAGTCCTGTAGTTTATAAACTTTATTACTGAGAATTCTAGACATAGCAGAAGTCGTTTGGGGGGTCCATAAAAATCACTTTTCTGCTTTTTTTTTTTTTTTTCAGAACCAGGGATTGAACTCAGGCCCTTGTGCTTGCCAGACAAGCGCTTATTCTACTTTGCTATCTCCCTGGCCCATCTTTTCTGCTTTTTGACTAGATCAAGTGCAGAGGTTGCATTAAGTGTTTGAAACAGGGTCTAACTGGGTCTTTCTCTGTTGCCCAAGCTGGCCTCAAAATGATCTCAAGATTGCCCTCAGCCTCCAGCACAGTAGGCCGCCATAAACTTTTTTTTGTTTCAGACAGAGTCTCACTATGTAGTTCAGGCTGGCCTTGAATTCTCTATGTAGCCTACGCTGGCCTGAAGCTCACAGCAATCCTCCTGTCTCAGCATTTTGAGTCATGGGATTGCAGGTATGCACCACCATGTTTGGTTGGCATAAAATTGTGTGTGTGTGTGTGTGTGTG